CAAAGATATTAAAAGTGGAAAAGAATGTTCACCTTAAAATGGTGAAATGCAATGGAATTAAGAGCTGGGCCTGCCAGCCCTCCAGGACAACACTGTACATGAGCTCATGATTATATTCGTCTATGAAAGACACACGAATTTTGGTATCTGGCATCCTGGTGCATAGTACAATTAATGAACGCTTCTGTTTTATGTTTCCCCAGTTGAACTCGTCCTGTTCTTGATTAAATAATGTTTTGGGGGATTTGTATGGTTGGGAACTTCATAGGAATCTCAGTTTAGCAAAGTGCTGCCTAGACGCAATGATGCATTTATGAGGCCACAGTCATGTTTAGGTCAGGGGCAGCCAAATTTGTTATATTAGTAAAAATGGTTGCTTTGAGTGGCAGTGCTGGGGTGCTGGTCTGTTGCTTCCTTTTGTAGGAGCTTTTCTGAGCTTCCAGAAAGAGCTGGGATTTCACAGGCAGATGGAGCTATTTTCCATGTTTTTCCTCTTCAGGGACAGGCCTGCAAATTTGTAATTACAGGGTAGCAGCATCCCTTGTTTGGGAAGTGGGATGGTTACATAAGCACTGTGGGAAAGCATACATGGCCCAGGCCCCACTTGGACAACCTGAAATCGCCTTTTGAAGGGTGTGGCATCCAAATCAAACCAGCCCCTGACTGAGGGGCAGGACAGAGCTTTCTGCAAGAGCTGAGTGCAGGGTGGGAGGATCAACATGCCAGCATGGGCCCCAGTCACATCAGGTAGCAAGTCCTACGTCTGAATGCCCGGGAACCCCAGGGCAAAGTTTTGCCTTTTTGATTTGAAATTCATTGAAGATTTTGTATGAATGTTTTAAAGAAGTCCAGAGCCAGATTTCTGTTTTGCAGGTTATTTTAGGACAATATTTTATCAGTTGCTGTTTTGGGAACAGCCTTTGCATTCCCAGAAGCGCTCAGCAAGACTGGTCTCTCTTCACGCCTCCACTGCTCAGGAAGTGTGGGTTCTGGGTACATACCACTCAAGTCTGAGTCCCAGTTCCACTGAGTGTCCCTGGGCAAGCTCTTATCCTTCTTATGCCTCAGTTACCTTTTCTGTAAGATGGAAATAATAAATAGAGCTTATTTAGAAGAATTGTTGAGAAAATCAAGCATTGCTTTGATAGTGCCTTGCCATTTAATATAAAAGGAATGAGATTAACCACAATATTGAACACTAATATGGTTCAGTTTACTCTGTGCTGGTCACTTTTATGCATAAAAATATATCATTTAATCTTCTCAACCATTCTATGAGTACATGCTATTTTTATCTCTGTTATAGATGAGGAAATTGAAACATAAAAGTTAATCTGATCAATATAAGTTAATTATTATTGTGTCTCTATGGAACCTTATGCATATTTGATTGTAGAATATTCTAGTTAATGGTTCTCCCCAAGAATATGCGAGTTCCTTAAACTTAATGACTCTGTCTTTTTTGACTTGATAAATCTAATGCCAGAAAAGAAAAAAGACACAGAGCAGATAAATAATGGTGAATAAATTGAAAGTAGTTTACTGGGAATTCTCAACTTGGAGTACAACTATGAAAAGATTTTGTTCTTTTTTCCAGTATTGGCTCCCAACTATATTATAGAACTCTTTATGTTCCATAATGATATAAAGAGTTGACTCCCCTGCTGCTGACATTTGGGTCAAATTTTGCAGCTTTTCAGTTGAGACATATTTGGCTTAGGTTTAAACACTGTTTTCTGTAGAGGAACGACTATTAGAGAAAAGGAGATCAGGAGGAGGGGAGGATAAGAAGGGTAATGGGGGATGAAGATGATCAAAATATGTTATGCACATACTAATATGCCACATGAAACTCATTGTTTTGTATAATTAATATGCACTAATAAAAATGTTTTCTGGTAATCCCAGCTGCTCAGGAAGCTGAGGGAGGAATATCACAAGTTTAAAGCCTGCCTCAGCAATTTAGTGAGGCCCTCAGCAATTTAGTAAGATCCTGTCTCAAAATAAAATACAAAAATTATTATGGGGATGTGGCTCAGTGGTTCAATCCCTAGTATTTAAAAAAAAATGTTTTCTGATGAGCTGGTTGGAGACCATTGGTTTAAGTAATAAGCAAAGACTTGAATTGTGGAGGCCATTGATTTAATCATTATACTTTTTACAGGCAGTAAAGTTTACATGGTTGGGGTTTTTCCTTCTCTAGAGCACATAAGGCAAAACAGGAAATGGAAAGTGGATCTAGTGAACAATAACTATAAATTCTTTCATAAAGCTTACTGTATCCAGCGCAGCTCTGACTGCACAGAATGTATCTAATCATATAAAACACATCAGCTCAATTACTCCTCACAGCAAGTCCAGGCTACAGACACTGGTCACACCCATTTTGCAGATGAGGGGAAAGGCACATAAGGTTTGTAGCATGCTGTCCAATACAGCTGGGAAGTGGCCGTGAATTTCTCAGCCTGCGCTCTTCTTGACCACAGTGCTGTGCTACCTCTCTCAAGGAAGCCCAACTCCTCAGAATCATTTTGAAATTAAGAAAAAGCTAAATAGTAAAACATAATTAAAACTATTGAATGCATATTTCAAAAAAAATTCAAGAAGGGGGAGCCGCACAAACACTTTTATGTGGGTAAAGAATGGCTCTTTTGCTGTGCTCTTTGGCATCTACTAACATGACTTCTCAGGATGTGGTCATTGGACAAATGCCTCTTATAGCCACTAGATTCTGCTCTCCCTCTGGATTTTCTCCTTCCCCCTTCTTTAGACTTTCCTTGCCCTTGTTCTTTTTCTAGGATCCTGTATTAGTCAGGGTTCTCCAGAGAAACAATCAGTAGGATGAGTCTCTCTGCCTCTGTGTATGTAGAAACACACACAGACGTATCTGTTCTTCTATAGTCAGAGTTAGAATAAAATTCCTTACAGTAAAATTTTATTCTTTAATATAAATACATGTACATCCCGCATATATATCTATATTTGTTAAGAAATGGCTAATGCAGTTGTGGGGCTGGCAAGTCCAAAATCTGCATGTAGGCTGACAGTCTGAAGACCCCCAAAAAAGCTAATGTCACAGTTTCAAGAATAAAGGTGCTGTGGAGACAAAATTCTTTCTTCTTTGAGGGGCCCCAGATTTTTTCTCTTAAGGCCTTTGACTGCTTGGATGAGGCCCAGTCACATGTTAGAGGGTGAGCTGCTTTACTCAAGGTCTACTTATTTAAATGGTAACCACATCTAAAAAAATCCTTCCACATCTAAACTGATGTTTGATCAAACAACTGGGTACTTTGGCTTAGCCAAGTTGACCCTGAACTATTACAGAACTGCTAGAAGAGAGTTTGGGCTTGTGTTAATTTTCTACAACACTGGAAAGGCTCTGGCACTGAGACCCCAGGGGACATAGAGAGATACAGTTTCCTCCAGAAGGGAAATCTGTCCAAACTTCAGAGTGCTCCCTGCCCCAAGACATCTGTTAACATCACCAGATGGGCTTGAGTGGTAACTCTCAGGCTCTGCCTCTAGCTTCCAGTTTCCAAAGAAGAAACTTTACTTACAGGGATTCAGGAAGAGTGTGTTCTGGGCTTATGTTTTCATTCCATACTGCTCTCCTTTCCAGAAGCATAGATTCAGTTCTTCCTGTTGTTCCTACTGGAGCTCCTCTAGTACTTTCTTTCTTTCTTTTTTCTTTGGTACTGGGACTGAACTCAGGGTCAGTTAACCACTGAGCCACAACCCAGCCCTTTTTTTGTATTTTATTTAGAGACAGGTTCTCACTGAGTTGCTTAGGACCTTGCTAAGTTGCTATGGCTATCTTTGAATTTGAGATCCTCCTGCCTCAGCCTCCTGAGCCACTGGGATTACAGGCGTGTGTCATTGTGTCTGGCTTCCTCTAGTACTTTGTACCTGACTCTGGACACTTGAAACTTTGGATCTTGTGTTGTAGCTGACATACATTTTCTTGCCCCCACTTCCCACCATGTGGGTGAGTCTCTTGAGGGCTAGAGCTGAGCTCACACTCTGGTGCCCACAATACTGCTTCATCATGAATATCACTCACTGGAGAGAATCTGCAAAGCTGTTTCTCTGTGGTGTTTCTTGAGCAGGAGCAGGATTGGCGTCATTCTCAATGAAACCTATGTAAAACAGGAAGAAGAACAGGACATCTACCACGGACAGAGGCTGATCCCTGTTTAGCCTTTCAGTTCTATACTCTAGGGATCAAGAAACAAAACAACAACAACAATAAACAAACAAAAATAATTAAAAAAAAAACCTTGCTGCTGAAATTAGGCTGTGAAGATGGTTGTACCCTGTATTTTCTGGCAGAGCCTTGGCCACCTTTGGGTGGGGGCCATGTAGCTGAAGAGTGAGAATTTTCCTGTGGGAGTGGGAGGGACCCACACTGGGGAGAGCTGATAGGGAAAAGCTTTCTAGGTGTGGACATGTAGTGGGGAATCTGCCAGAGAAGCTGTTAGTTTCCTGTCACTTCTGGAACAAATCAGCACACATTTTAAAATAGCACAAAATCATTTTGTAGTTTAGAAAGTTGGATCTGACATGGTCTCACTGGGCCCATGTTAGGATGTCAGTAGGACTGTTCCCTTCTGCAGACTCCAGGGAGAATCCCTTTCTGTGCCTTTCTGCTTGTATTCCTTGGCTAGTGTCCCCCTCCACACTCGTGGTGCTTTGCACAGGTCTAGCATATAGTTGCTGTTTCATAAATGTCCATTGGTGACATTGACTTCAAAATTCACTATTCACAAGTCATTCCACTACACAAACAGTGAATGGAAATATACTATTTTAAGCACAGGCTGTATTATGGTCTCTGGTCAGTATTCAGCAACAGGCTTATTTTTCATGTATTCCCAGAAATTTTACAACAATGGTACCAAGTTTCTGGGAGAAGGAGTATAAGTCTCAATAGGCAAAATATAAACATTTTTGTTATGATAAAAATCCAACTTGAATTGATACACTCCAAAAATACACCATTGTGTGTTTTTGGAAAACATTTATTGCAATAGAGTGTCAAAAATTTTTACAAAAATATGCCACTGTCTGGTACAAACAACTATAAAAAAATCAGTTCATCATGCAAGAAAAGTGCAAATAATTTATACAGAAGGACTCAGCTCACACAATATTAAATAAACATCTTTGCATGTTTGCAAGTAATCGGTCTAATTTACACTTTAAATTCAACCCACTCTACTATTTTCCACTAAAAAAGTACATTAAAGCTTCTAGGCTTAGAACATGGACTATCATATACACCCCCTTCAGCCAGGGTGATTGGCACACAGTAGACCAAAGATGGCGCCAAAGGCTCCCAAGCGTACAGCAGGGTTTGGAGCCTTCTGTTTAACAGACGTGTGCATTGTAAATTAAACAAAGTTGTCTATATTCAAAGATAGAAAAGTCATGTTCAAATTCCAGAAGTAATGGAGCAGATGGAGTTTCAAGAAGTTCTTAGTTTTGGAGCAGCCATCCATTGTGAGCCAAATGGAGCAGGACTCAAGTTTTGAGAGATTTTTCCAGGAAGCTTTGTTTGCCAAGTTCAAAGACATTTGGAAAAGGCCTAGCATAAAAAGTCACAAATATCATGGTCCCTTGCTCCTTCCTTGTTGCCTCATGGAATAGACTGTTTGCTAAGTGAAGAGGAGGTTTAATAGAGAAAGAACTTCCCCTAGGCTACAGACTCCATGTAACTTGCAGCTGGTGCTAGAGGAGGAGGAGATAGCTGGATGGGATAAATGTACTCCTTAGTGAAAGAGGAGAGGAAAGAGCTGCTTGGTTACCATCAGAACCTCAGTGTTCAGAAACTGCTGCTCATCCTTGTGTTTTTATAAGGGTCATCTTTGTAATCAAAATATAAGTACCCAAGGGAAAAATGAATTTGTCAAAACATGCCACACACTTTATAGCAAGTAGGTTGTCCTCACTAGGACTCTGTACTCACACTGGAGGTCTGCATAAATATCAAGTGGCTCCTTAACTTCTCCAATAAGAATCAGGGATGTAAAAGGTTTGGAAGACTTAATGTCCAGCTACCCATTGTGCAGCAGTCTCCAGTACCTTCCACAGTGCAGGTCTTGAGAAGAATGACATTAAGTGTTATGTGTCTCCAGCCATACTACCAGGTGACTGGGACCAGAGTTGGGGACACAGGTCAGGCCCCAGGTTTCCATCCAGCTGAGGCCCATCCCCTAAATATCCTGGACTTGCTTCCTCATCTTGAAGGCCTTCAGATTCCACCCTGACAACCCATTCAGGTCTAAAGTCTCAGGAAACCACAAAGATTTTACCCTCCATAAGAAAACATTGAGTTTTAAAGGAATTATGACCTTGTTTGTTGAAGCTAGTGAGGACCCCGGGTTTATCAAGGAGCAATGTTTTTGCATTTGCCTAGAGGTTCAGGGTGTTTCTGAGGTCTGTTAAAGCACTAATAGAGTTGCAGGCCAGCATCCAGTCAGAAGAGATGGTTCACAGACTCAGATAGTTGGAAAGAGATTAAAAAACAACAACAACAGATGTCAACATAGAAAAGTATGATAGAGTTTAGTTAAAAAACACACACAAAAAATTAAAGTTAAAAAAATTCACACATAAAATATAGAGTGTTTGCAAATCAAGACATTATTGCCTGGCAGAAAAAAAAATATAAACTCAGGTGCATATTTTATAATAAACATTGTGTTGAATGCTAAGAATGATACACTGTTGAACATCACTTGTAATGATTTATCTTTTTGTAAATCACACCACTTGCTTAGAAAAATGAAATTCCAAGCTTTCTCTTTTCCCATATAAATACAACAGAAACAAGGAGCTTGCAAGCTCTGCAAGCTCAGAAAGATGAGAACTGGCAATAACATAATACACACCCATTACCTTACTTCACAGTTACAAGTAGAACCCACTCTTACATTGAGAATTTTGCAGTGTAAACCCTGTCCATCTGAAATTATCTCCTCCAAGCCACTCCAATATGAAATTGATCATGACTAACCAAGGATCATCTCAGGACTGATACCCCGGGGGGATGTTTTTACCTTATAACTTTTGTTCTTTTCTGCTACCTGCCCTCCCATTCAACTGATTCATCTAATCAAAGTAACAGTGTTGCATAAGTATGTAATCTAGTTTAAAATGTCATTAGACTTTCTTTTTCTGGATCTTGCCTTAAAATGAGCACTCCTCAACTTCACATTTTCTCTTTTCTATAAATGTTGGCCCTTCCTCTTGGGAGGCTCTAGATTTTCTGCTTATGAACCTCTGAGTTGGACAAAATCGTTGTATCCATATGAATGTGCTCAGAATGCTTTCCTTTGCTATAAGTCTGAATTGCTTCAAAATGAACATCAGTTTCTAGATCTGCTTTATAGAGTGTGTGTTGTGTGTGTGGGAGGCAGGTAGGCACACTAAAGAGGGTACAGTATTCTATCTCTTTCAGCAGTTTCCATCTCCATGCCCTTTCTTGCTATTACCCCAGCAGTTCTGAGACAGGGATTCTTTGTGTTTGCTTTTTGGGTCAGGTTGTCCTGGGTGCGTTTGTCAATAGGGAGCCTATTAGTGTCCTGGGAACAAGAATTTTCTTTTAAACTCACTGTACTTACATGTAGTGCTCTGGCCATGCCTAACAGAAACCATGTGGTCTAACATAGTCTGCCTGCTCTGCTCCTTCCACTGTCCCCACACAAACCAAAGCATCGAAGATACACCATTTCTATCCCTTCCCCCTCCCTCTCTACCTGGCGTTTCTTTCCTTATTCTCCCTTTCCAATGAAAAAGACCCATAAAATGTTGGTTTCTTGATTTTCATCCTTAAAAAAATATCCAACTGTCACGTACCACATCCAATAACACCAAACTACATGGGCAGGTTCCACAGACACTGTCTTGGTAAATATTATAAAAAACATTGACTACCTGTTGGGGTGGGGGTGGTTTTTGCACAAATGCATGTTGTTGCCTGGGGTGTGATGTCCAATGAGCCTGGATGACTAGTTTTGTGCCAATCATCCAAAGCAGCCACTCTTCCTAGGATTGCAAACCTGAAAGTGCCAAGAACTTTCCCTTTCTTCAGTCAGCATGATGGAGCAGAGGTCATGAGTTGGGAAGATGTGGAAGACCATGAACCCCTAAACCTGAAGCTGACAAACCAGAGCTTTCCACAGCAGTGGCACACCGAACCCACTCTATTCCTTTAAGGAAAGTAAGATATTTGACAGAACCTGAAAATTATGGAAGAAGTAGCTTTTTATTTAACAGTCAGGTCCTGTATTCTTGATGTCCAACTGATATGGGAGAGAAAAACAAACCAAAAACACCCTCTTAGTTATTACATTGGTTTGTAGCCCTCCAAAGCTCAACACAATCTTATTCATTCATGTCTGATTTTTTTCATTAGGGAAAATTTAAATTCATCTTATTTCATTAAATTCAGTTCTCATTATGGAAAATTTCAATTCAATTCATTTAGTTTTCTTTTTTGGGGAGATGATAATGAAAGAAATATGGAGAAATCCTGGTGCAAGTATAAGCATTACAAAGTAAGGAGCATTGGAGAGTTTACTGCAGAATGCTGACGTGCAGACTGAGTGGTTGAAGGAAGGGCATGGAGAGGTACTGAATCACTACTGTCCCTTGCCTTGTTTCTGTATCTGCTTAGCTACCTTTTCCCTCCTTCAAGGGTCACCCCAAGGTACAACCTTTAAGGGGTTACACTGTCCCTCAATATGAATGTGAGTTAAGTTCCTATTTCCGTTTCAATTATTTGCCGAGGGCATGCAAGGTGCGACTTTATTTGGGGGTGGGGGAGGAAGCAAATACAACTGCAAATATATGTACACTGTTGTAGAAAAGCAACTTTCTATAAAAAGTTAGAAACAAAAACATTCCCCACCCTCTTCCAGGAATATCTGACAATTAACTCATGAAGTCCTGAGATTTCCTTTCTTCCACAGTGACCTGCTGATACTTGCCTTGCAAAATCCCATGGGATCTTTGTTTTAACTATCTTCATTTTAACTCTCCAGCCCTGAAGTCAGTTTAAGATGAACTCATCTCCCTATTTGGCTGGAACTTGAGGCTTTATTTTTAATCACACTTACAAAAAGCCCTAGTTCAGGTTGTCTCAAGGACTTAAGAAAGCTCAATTTATCACCCTGATGACAGGAAGAGCAAGTGGCAAAATGCTTAATTGTCTGATAGGTAAAACCTGACTCTCAAGCCCCAGCACTTGGGCTGCAATCAGTTTGCAGATGTACACTTTTCCACAAATGCACCCAAGGAAGCCCAGACAAGCCCAGAAGTTAAACCAGAAGAAAGAAGTCTTTATAGCTATGGGGTACCTGATTCTATCTTTTCCGGGGTATGATTTCTATTGGGACTGTTGTTAATTGGCCTTCTCTTTCCCCAGTGAACTACAGTATGGAAGGAGAAAAGGCACATGTACTTTGAGATTGTTCTAGGAAGGAGGAGACTCCAAAGAGGGCCCTGTTTACCTAAAAAGGAAGTGTGAAACAAGATGAGGGTTGCTTCCAACATCCTTTCCATTTTAAATCACTTTTTATAGTGATGAAAACACTTACAAGAAACACAGACACTGCCTACTGGATAATGCACGTTGTCAGAGATCACGCTTTATGCTTTTAGAGGTAGACCATTGTGTGGTGTCTCATAGGATAAGGCCTATGCCCACTCAGGTTTCGGGGTTGGTGCTTCTTTGCCTTTCCAAAACAAACTCAATCAAAACCAAAGCTCCAGGATTTCTTATATGTATTTTTTCTTCTTTCTTCCTTTTTTTTTTTTTTTTGTCTAAACAGATTTTCACATTGTAAACAAAGAGCATTCTGTCTGCATTTGAGTCTTGCCTTTTTCTTCCTAGGGAACTATAAAGGAGTTTCCATGAACATCAAGAGAATTCCATCTTCACGGCTGACAAAGAATTCTTGCCTTTAGAGTCTTGCTGGCAAATTGTTAGAAAAAAAGTCTATTTACAATACTTCTGCTTTTCCATACAAATTCTAATGTGGAGTTCACATTCTTAAATTCCCATCAGCAATTGTATCTCTCCCCTCCAAGGTCCTCTCAAGGACTTATCTGAGAAGTCTCAGGCCAATGTTTAAAATGTACACTATTTACAAATGGAGCGTCCAAACTCTGTATTTGTAGCCATCCAGTCAGCAGGGGGCCCTCTGAAGTGTTGTCATGTGCTGGGATTCAGAACTTGAACAAGTTGATAAAGTCCTGGGGTGAAAGTGGAACGGAGCAGCTCTCTGGATTGTTAGCTGTGCAAGGATGGTCAGTGCCCTGGAAAGACATATGGTGGTAAGTTTAGAGTTCTCAGAGGTGTTGCACTGAGTTTTGGCACCATGAGGTACTGCCCAACCTCAAAACAACAATTCTCTCTCAAGAATGCCACAGCACTGCAAAATCGATAGAGCTGTATGTTTGCCTGTGTATGCACCTGTGCACACAGAGGTGGGAGAATTTGGAAGTGAGTGGGTTCCAGAGAAAAATAAACATAAGGAGTGAAGGAAATGAGGGAAAATGAAGGAAAGTTTCTCCTCCCGTCCCAGCTGCTGGATCAGTTTTACCTTCCCTTTGATTTGGGGCCTGAGATAGGAAAGATCAGGAAATGGCCTGGAGCTGCTGGCTCTGGGGACTAGGCTAGGGGGCTGTGGTAGCGCCTCTGAAACACATACCTTCCAGGAAAGAATGTGACAGTGTTTGCAAAGCTGCAGGGTGTCCCCATACTGCTCTTTCCTTGGGTAACATCGAATAAGCTTAAAATACATCTTCTTCCAATCCAGCTGCCCTTTGTCTGACAAAATTAATCGCTTGCGGATCTAAAAATCAAATGAATAAAAATAATTGCAGGAGAGTTAGTCAAGAGCATGATTTGTGGTTTTCTGGTTCTTAAAAGTTCTACTCCTACCCTCCTTCCCCTTTCCCTCTCTATCCTACAATAGCCAGAAGGGAAAGACTGCCAAGATATAAAGAAGTGCCTTCAAATCTCTCCTCAATTACACAGTAGCTTTGAACCAGTCTTTGAAAGATATAGGTGGTTGGTGACAACTTACTAATGACCTCTACTAAATTGCATTTAGTTTGTTAATACTTAAAGTTAGGTCACATTCATAATCCACTTCAACATTTTTCTCTGCTATAGACTTGAGTGATTATTTTCAGGGAGGTGCAATAATTCTTGGCTGTGTGTGTGTGTGTGTGTGTGTTTGTGTTTCCCATCAAAACTACCTGGGGATGCTGGGGTTGTGGCTTGGTGGCAGAGCACTTGCCTCACATATATGAGGCACTAGGTTCAATCCTCAACACCACATAAAAACAAATAAAGATATTTAAAAAAAATTATCTGGGGAAGAGGGGAGGGGCAAAGGGGTAAGAAAGATGGAATGAGAGGGACATCATTACCCTAGGTACACGTGTGATTGCATGAATGGTGTGACTCTACTTCATACACAACCAGAGAAGTGAAAAATTCTGTTCCATTTGTGTACAATGAATCAAAAGCTTTCAATTGCCTTGTATAGCTGATCAGAACTAACAAAAAAAAAAAAAAGAAAAACTACCTGGGGTGGCGGGGGAAGCAACTTTACCCACTATAGACACCTTCGATTGGAGTTTTCCAGTCAAACCCAGTAGCCCTGAAGTGGGGCAGCCATGCTTTATGTTAGAGGAGGACAAGGGAGAGGAGGGTGGGGCAAAGGAGGGCCATCTGTGAGGCAGCCCGTGGGCGCCACTGACCTGCCTCTCGGAGAAGTGGTACTGGCAGAGCTTCTTCCACAGCAGCCGGTCCTCACTGAGCACGTGGAGGTCGGGGGCCACCTGGCCCAGGCTGACGAGGTCGCGCCCGTCGCTCAGCCTCTGCATGATGTTCAGTTGTAAGCATAAGGGCAGGTCCGTGAAGGTGAGGCCTTTGAAGGCAGGCTGCAGAAGGAAGGCGACAATAAGCCTGGGGTCAGAGAGCAGCCATTCTCCAGGTGACACACACTAAGGATGTGACTGTCCCCTCCTCTGCCACCCTCAAGCTGGCTTATTGATCAGAGGTCAAAAAGTAATTGTCCCCATCCTACATACAGAATGGGACCCATGGCTGAGACACACAAAGAACAGCCTAGAGTGGCTTGGGCTGATGGTACCAGAGGGAGTCTCCTAAGTTTCATGAAGCTCTGTGATTTTACTGTAAAAGATTCTCCAAATAGCACAGGTTGAATTCTAGAGCTTCATTCAATTCAGGGCTCAGTCATCATGTTTGCTGCCTTCCTGAAGGCCTAATGGGCCTGGAGGGAGAGCCTCAACCTGCCAGCTGGCCTCTTGTCTCACTGCCCCCTGCCTCATGACCTTGGAGCCTCTATACAGGTTTACTCACAGGCACCTGACACATCTTGCTCACTTCTGCACAGTGCCCCCCCCCGCCATGGTCCTCTCCTGTCCTTTAGGTGCACTTCAAACCCATTTCCTCTGAACGGCCTTTCCTGCTTTTGCGAGTGATTCCCTCTGGCCTCATTTATTGCACCTCCCAGAGTGCCCATGATCTCTTTCAGATCTTTTTTGCAACACCTCCTATTTGTTATGTGACACCCCCCCTTTTTTTGGTACCAGACATTAAACCCAATGGCACTTAAACACTGAGCCACATCCCCAGCCTATTTTATTTTTTATTTTGAGACAAGATCTCATGAAGTTGCTTAGGGCCTCCTTAGTTGCTGAGGCTGGCTGACACAACTCTTCTAAAATAAATCCTAAGTGGTACATTCTGCTAGAGCTTAACCTCCACAAAGGCAAGGATTTTTACCTAGTTTCATTGTTGTGTCTCTACTTTTTGGAAGAGTGCTTGGTGCTTAGTAGGCACTCAGTAAACATCAGTGGGATCAATGAAACCCAAAGAGCTAGACAGACAAAAAAACAACAATAAAAGAAGCCTGTACTGGTCTCTGTGTGTGCAAGCACACACATGTGTACATGTATGTATGAATGTAGCTGTGTGTATGTGCTTATTTGTGTATATTTGTTTACATGCATGTACATATGTGAATGCATGTGGGTACATTTGTGAATGTGTGTTATGTGTGTATATGCATGTGTGTTTGTATGTATATGTGTGTGCACCCACACATTTTGGAAATGGCTAGTGTAGAACCCTTTGGCCTAAGCTCCATCATCTACTGAAGCAGTTCTATTCAAACCTGGGGTTCCATTGAACATATTGAAAACTTCTGTGGATAGTACACTGGCAGTTAATGAGGAGCCCTTTACTGTTTCAAGTTTGGATGAGCTCAAGATACTCCATCCAGGCCTATATTCCTGAAGGCAGGGACTAATTTTGTACTCCTTGCAGACTGGCCCGGCACAAACAAGCCCTCTTGGTGCCTACTGTGGCCTGGTCCTTGAGTTGCTGTGATGAGCTCCAGAGGCCAGTGAGACTCATAAGCAAACTATTCTGGAGCAATACATTAGATGCCATGACAGAGGGAAATTCAAAGTTCCAAAGGAACAATCTGCACAGAGCAGGTCCTTGGCAGTGCCCTGATACTTCAGGATGCTGCCATTTGGAAAAGAAGGTGACATCCCCTTGGGACTTGTTCCTTGTCTCTGCCTACTACTTTGGGGTGAGCTCTCAATTTTGGACTATTCATTTTTAGTTCAATGTTCTGTCACCTCCGAAAAGTCACAGTAGACAAAACAAACAAAAGTAAGCATGGAAGCTTTTTCCCTCGCTCAAGGAAAATACCTTTGAGAATGGGTATTATTTTTCTCCCTCAAGTTTTTTTTAAAAATATTTTTAGTTGTAGATGGACATGATACCTTTATTTTGTTTATTCAGTTTTTTAAATGTGGTGCTGGGGAGGTCAAACTCAGCAAACTCAGCGCCTTGCACATGCTAGGCAGGCACTCCACCATCGAGCCACAACCCCAGCCCTCTTCCTCAAGTTTTTAGAGAAAGAACTTCTGTAGGAAGCACATCAAAGCCCAAACATACAGAGGACCCTGAGGGTCATGCAGCCTCAGTTATTGCTCCCATGTCCCCTTCAAGGCAGGACAGGCATGTAGTGGGAAGGTGGACTTGAGAAGGGGACTAACAAAAAGAACAGATGGCAGCATGGGGCAGGGCCCTCAGGTGGATAAGCAGCAGATCTGGATCCAGGTACCCTTGGGTACAGGGTCCAAAGTGGCCAGGTTTTGAAGACTGAAGATCCCTCCAGCTCTAACAATCTCAGACTTGGAGTGACTTCAGCCTCCTGGTTCATCAGAAGTGTCTATGACTTGGCAATTTTTATTGCTCTGTTCCACCCCAGGCTGCTGGGCTGAACTTTCAATTATTTGCAACGTTCAGGACTTCACGGGACTGCAGAAGGCCCTGGACCTATTTGTCGTTTATCATCTGCTGCTGATCATATGAGCTAATAAAACGGCCATGAGATTTTCTTTCTGTTTCCAGCACTTCAAAGCCTCTACTTTTTTGGTTAAAACTCCCAGGCCAATTATTACATTAACTCCTATTAAAGGCAAGTCTACTTGGGCAGAGTTCTCTCTGTCAAATTTTCAAACCTGAACTTTTCCTAATTCCTTGCCCAGACCCCATGCCAAGCCCTTCCTCCTGATAAATGGTTAACTGCTTGCATGCCTTCTTCTGCCCGAATATAAACATATAAAAGAAAAATACGTCACTCTCGCTCCTCCAGTCAAGCATTGGCTAGAATCCATTTCTATCTACCCTGCCCCCTTGTTTCAAAACACTGCCTGGCCCAAAGCAAGGTCATTAGATTTGATTTCTCTCCCTTACAAACCAGTTCTTTTAATTTTTCCTTCATCTTTTATTATGTGAATTATACTTGCCAATAAAAAATTGGTTCAAAATAATTAGATATGAAAATTTCGATGGAAAACAAGATTATGTGTTGGGAAGACATTGATAGAACTTTGGCAAATAAAAAGCATTTACTCCCCAAATCACCTTCCTATTTTCATGCAACAACATACCTCTCTTTTGGGCCAAACTGTTTAAAAGTATGTTTTAAAATATAGTCCAGACTGCAGTAATTAAGTCCCTTTCTCTCTCTCTCTCTCTCTCTCTCTCTCTCTCTCTCTCCCCCTCCCTCTCTCTCCCTCTCCCTCTCTCTCCCTCCCTCTCTCCCCCTGTCCCTGTCCCTGTCCCTTTCCCCCCACCCCTGCAGAGTTGGGCATTCACGTGGAAAGCTCTCCAGAGCTGGTGGGTTCCAGCAGGGCTCTGAAGATAATAGAGCTCAAAGCCCAGGAGGGTTGGGGCATAGGACATGATGGAGGAGGGAGCATAGCCCTTGAAGACAGGCCTGGATTCAATCCCTGTGCCAGAACCTACCAACACTGAGACTTCAGTCAAATTACACCCAGCCCCCCATATCCTGAGACTTGCATCCTTGGATTCAACCAGCCACTGATAGAAAATATTTTAAAAATATCACATTTGTGTTAAACTTGTATAGGCATTTTTTTCTTGATCATTATTCCTTAAACACTATATCATGACAACTATTTACATAGCAGTTAAATTGTATTATAAGTGATTTAGAGACAGGAGGTTCTGCATAGGTTAAATGCAAATACTATGTCATCTAATCTAAAGGACTTGAGCATCCATGGGTTTTGGTATGCTCAGAGGGTTCTGGAATCAATCCCTGGGGGGGCTTATTGAAGATGACTGTATTCATAACTACTCTAATTTTTCTCATTGATAAAATGAGGCAATGCATATCTTACAGTGCTGCTGGGTAGAGCAGATGGGATCATGCACAGAAGTACTTACTATAGTGACCAGTAAATTTTGGCCATTAGTTCTATTTACAATTCACTAGAGGAGCTAATTAGTACATATGAAGGTCTTAGAAGAGTGAGTGCACAGAGCAAGCTCTTGATAATAATAACACTCAACACCTTTAAAACACTTGCTACACATCAGACACTATTGAAACTGCTTTGTATAGATTAATTTTATGAACACTCACACCAGGGCCTATTCTTATTTTCGAGGGGAGGAGAGTGAGGCATGGAGAAATCGAATAACTTTCCCCCAAACCTGCAGTTAGTCATATTTATCCTCCATGATCCATGGCAGTATTTTCTAATATGCACTGTTGAACCCTGGATAAGTACTTCAGTGGGTCATGGAGGAGACTCCCCTTCAAAGGTGCATTCATTCAACTCAAACTGCTTGCTACCTCTGTGCCAGGTGTGGAGGAATGGGTAAGGCCCTGTCTTTGTGGAATCTGTAAACCAGTGGTCAGAGATGGGAAAGTACCTATGCATGAGATGATTTTGGATCATAGTAACTGCTCTGAAGAAGGCTGTGGTTTCAATAGTTGGGGTGGTCAGGAAGGTTCCAAGCCAGGAAGATCAGAGTGTGCAAAGAGTAGCTGGGCTTGGCGGGACACCTCAAGCAGAATGAAGTGGGGGTGAGCTGCTGTGTTTGGTCTCTTCTGCACAGGATTTCATTGGATTAAAAAGTTATTTTTTTTTAATCAAAAAAATTGGATCACTGGATAAATAGTTGGAAGAAAATTGGATGGAGAAAAATGTTTGGAAACCACGAATGTTAAGCTAGCTTTGCCATTTTAGGAATAAGCAGTCCAGGGTTCTGACCTTAGCTCTAGCTCTAATTGCTGTGTAATGCTGGGAAAGTCACTAGGCTTCTCTGGTACCCGTCCTAGCTCCAGCACGTGAAGGGTAATAGTAACTATTATGGTTACCTACCAAGAGTGTTTGGGGACCAACTAAGGAGAGCTCTGAGGGAGTAAGCCCATGCAAGTACTAGGTATGTCTGGGAATAGATGTGGCCAATGGGGGCTCCTATAGTGTGGGCAGGGGGACCACGGTGAGCTCTGAGCAAGTGTGACCATCTAATGGCTGTTCCAACATTGCTGGAGGGAGGATGTCTTTGGGACAAATGGGACTTGCTCCTTTATATCACTGGCTGGGTAATTCTTTCCTGATTTAAGATAGGAAATATTAAATCCAAGCCAGGTGTGGTGGTGCATGCCTGCAATCCCAGTGGTTTGGGAAGCTAAGGCAGGAGGATCTCAAGTTCAAAGCCAGCCTTAGCAACTAAAGTTGCTCAGCCTGTCTCAAAATTTAAATAAGTAAGTATGTAAGTAAGTAAGTAAAGGGCCAAGGATGTGGCTCAGTGGCTAAGTACTTCTGGGTTCAATCCAGGCCACAGAGAATTCTAGAAATTGAGTAGAAGGGGTAAATGAGTTTTCTCTGAGAGAGAAGATGAAATTTCAGTTTCAACTTCACACTGTCAAATGATGCCTACATTTGAGAGATGGGCCTGGGGTAAATTATTAGAATGCATTAGGTTACTATTCATGATAAACACTCACATTCTCTTAAAACAATCCAATAACTGAAATGGCTTCTGTGGGGCAACCCACCTTTGTGCTCTGCTCTGTGCATGCATGTGTGTGCCTGCATGAGCGTGTGTGGGTGCGTGAGGTGTGGGTGTTGTAGCCCACGTGACTCTAAGGGAGCCAAACAACTCTGAGGCTTCTAATTATCCCCTCCGTTCCTGAGCTTAAGAAACCAAGGCATAGGGAAATTGTTAACAGTAAAGGACATGCAGTTCGAACACTTCACATAGTAAACCACTTCTTTAAAGGGGGTTGGGGGGCTAGGGGTGTGGCTCAGTGGAAGAGCACTTGCCTAGCATGAGCAAGACCCTGGGTTTGATCCCTAGGACAATAAAATAAAGTAAAGGAGATCTCTGCATGCTACCTTCTCCTGATATGGTACAGCCCTAACTTTATCAGTGTGGGTCCCGGAAACCACTTAAACAGCAGTAAGATAAGTCAGTGGTCAGATAAGTCCGTGGTCAGATAAGTCAGTGTCAGATAAGTAGGCAAAGTGCCATGTGAGGTGCCTAAGTGTCTGTCCATTAGTGAGCCCAGAGAGATCATTCCAGCGTCTTTTGTATATTTTTTGTGTGCCTCAGTCTTTCTGCTCACTATTAAGAGGACAAGAGCTGAGGGTGAGTTATGTTTTGAAGCTAAAAGGAACTACTGATAATGATAGCCATGTTTTGCTGGTAACATATGGCTCCCCCCTCGCCCTTTGAGTGAGAAGTGCCTGGTTTTGCACATGCATATCCACAGTCTCTAATCACAGTTTTCCTTTGTACAACTAATAATTGGAAACAGGATTTTAAAAGGCTAGTACCAGTCCTCCAAGCCACAGCCTCCACAGCACTACTATATTCAAGGCAGCATCCCAAAGCTGCAAATAATTCATTCTTTGTGAGAAATGGGAAGAGAAATCTCTGCACCCTACTGAGTACTTCAGTAGGACAGCTAGCATCTGCCCTAAAGCCAAGATCCCATGATGTTTCAAGATCTTAGATGATTCATCTGGCTATGCTCTTTCACATACTTTGATCCTGTACTGCCAAGTTCTTCTTCCTATCCTCCCTTTAGCAGGAAGCCCCCTCAGCCTCAGCCCATCTTCTGCACCAGGCTAAAGCATGAAATCAGAGAAGATCAGACTCCTTCATCACAGTGTGGATTTGAAGTCCTGGCAAGACTGCCCGGCATCCCAGTGGCGGACCCAATTGCCTGAAGGAGGCTTCCCGCTTACCCTGGTAATCTGGATGTTGTTCAGCTGCTGCTGCCAGTGTAGAATCGTCTCCATGCGGTACACCCACATGTTAATGTTGCCCACCAGCACAGACTTGCCGACTCTCTGGACTAGTGTACATAAGGATGTATAGAGGGTCTGCAGTAGTTCCCTTATGAGTCTAATGTTTTGCTGGTCTTCAAGGACTTGAGTAGAGAAGAAAAAAAATACAGTTATGATAGTGGAACACTGTGTTTTTAAAGTGAGCTTTTCTTCTCATCTGCTCCTGTTACCAGGCACTGCCTCTGAGGATACAGTTTTCTTTCTCACCAGTGTTGATTCTACATTGGCCAAGCTTCTGTACTCAAGGCTAAAGGGTAGAGTTTCCATGATCTAGGTCCCTCTTTGTTCTTCCTGATTCTCTATAAAGCCCCTTTCTCTCTCCATTGTTCCATAGCACCAATGATTCACCTGATCAGAAAGCTGCTAGTTTTGCTCAGTAGTGGCATCTTTTAGATCGCCACTGGAAAGAACACAGTTCTGGGGTTAAGAGGTTGGGTTCTAATCCTGTCTGGCTGATCTCTGTATGATTATGGACAAATCCCTTCTCCTGGGTGTATAATGACCTACTTAAGCCAGAAGTCTAAGGTTCCCTGTAGCTCAAATAACCTAAGAATTGAGATGCACATAGCTCAATATCCTCTTTATTTGGAGACTCAGTAGCTAAGGGTGGGATGTGTGCTCCCATGGAGAAGCTTGCAATGCAAAGCAGAGTGAATGAATCATCCCAGAGACACAGGACGATGATGGTCTCATTCTTTGCCTTGGGTATAAGTTATACCCTTTCTGAATCAGAACGTGGTACCCCTGAAATGAAGCTGGAGTTATTCATTTCCATCAACTGATATTAATTTAAATCTAATGACATGTCTATTGTATGAGAAATCCATCTGTCCATCCCCTTGCTTACAAAAAGGGTGTGAGAGAGGGCTCACCTTTTAATACCACCTTTTCCAAAATGTTCATGAAGTTCTTTTGGGCGATACCACTCAGGGATGTGAGCTGTGACTTTGCTATCAGTTCCAACAGCTGTGGATAAAAATAGAAGTTGCCAGGCTTAGAATACGGAGATATTTTTCTCTTCTAATCTTCACTTTTGAGTCACATGACATGTAGACACAGACTGACGAAGAGAGATAAATGGCAGGCAGGACTACCAGGCAATAGAGCAGATGTTTGACATGAGAGACAAATGGGGTAATTCAAGACCCATGAATCAGGCTGAATATTTAATTGCTTTTTTCCTTTTAAATGTAAAGACTTTTGGCTTTGGGGGTGAGTAATCCATTCTACTTTCCCTACTTCAGTGGGCAGAGCTGAGGGCACTCTGAAGAGAACAAAACCTCCCATGATGCCTCTTGAGTTCTGCATAATCAGTCCCCCTACCCGCACCACGGAACTGCTCTGCTCTGCTCCCACTTGAACTTTTCCCCCATTGGCACCGACTGCCTTGGAGGCACCTGGAAGCTCATGTTCAGTACTTCATGCATTTTTCAAGGACATAGCAATTAGTTTCCAGATATCTCCTGCTTATGAAGTGTTCAATAAATGCACCTATTCATTAGAATCTCATTGCACTCAACTTTCTATAGAAAGGGGACAATCAGAGGAGAGTGAGGGCAATTTAAGGACTTGTAGTCTGAATACCTGTTTTGATCTGGTGGCAGTGATGTCACTGTGGCTGAGAACTAGGATCCTCATAATTCTTAGCCTTGATCAAGTCTTGATTTGACTGATCATTTGCTCTGTGATTATGGGCAAGTCACTAGCTATCTTGGTAACCCAAGGTTTCTATTAATACTCAGAGTCCCTGAGGTGGTTGTGAGCTTTAAATGAGATAATGCACATACAGCCCTTAGTGCAGTGTGTGGAACATATTGGGTGCTAAATAAAATCGACTGGCTTGTTGAAGGACTATGTCCCATTCCTAATCTGCTATCCCCAAATGAAACAGATAAGAACTGAAGTTGGTGTGTTCTTAGTTCAGTTTTCTTTCCTTGTATGGGAAAATTCTGTACTCCTGTGTCATGATTTTAAAAACCCCAAAGATTCTACTGTTGAAACACGAAAGTTCAACAGTAGAATCTTTGCAGGGGTCTTACAGATGGTCTAGTTCGACACACTAAACAGATGAACAAAGTGAGGCTTAAATAAACAACTTCACAGCCAGCAAGAGGACAAAGCAGTGTCTTGGAAATGGGAAAATAAGGAGACACTCCTTATGCTTTCCAACAGGTATCAAAAGAAAGGGTTGACACAAAGTGTCAGGTCCCCAGGAGAGCAAACTAGATTGAGACTTTGTGAATAGAAAACTAAGACCCTTTCTTTCTTGGAATTCCTGTTCCTAGGAACTTTCTATAAGAGATGGCCCTGGCCAGGATCCCACGCAACTCCAAAACACTGACTATAGTGCTGTGTTGGGTGTTGGCATCAAGTCTGAGGGAAGAAGCAAAGTGAAATTTAAAAAACCTGGGTTGCAGAGGAGGACTGCAATCTTGGCTCAAGCCCCAGGCAGTTTAGAGCACCTCTGCTTCCAAAGCACTTGTTCAAACATTTGTCCCCACTGAGCCTTTTAGGCACCTGTCAAACCCCCGGAAAGACTTCATTTCCTGAACACAAATTTTAAGTTGAAAAATAAGAGAAAAAAGAGAAACCCAAAACACTTTTCCTGCCTGGATATGTATCTTCCACACACATAAGAACTGGTTTTCGGGGTGAGAACTGGTGACCTAAGGCTGGAAGGTAGGAGCCGACTGTGTTGCTAAGAAAGGGAAGAAATCAAAACAAGGGTAGAGGACTTGGCTATGGGCAGTGACCACACTGAATGCTCTCTGCCTATCTGATTTACTTCTGCCACCAACCAGCATGTGACAGTCAAGAGATGAGTGAAAGTGGCACAAAGGGGCTAGCCAAACCTTTCATTTATCTCCCTGACCCACAGCAAGATCCAGAAGGCCCAGGCGGTGGTTTATTAATACCCTGAGCCTCACATGATCAGCACAGAGCAAGATGAAAGAAAACAAAAGCCGGGAGTCTGCTCTGGAGGCAGCCGGCTCACTGTGACTCACCACTGGGTGGGAGGTGGGTCGAGGGGGCAGGAGGAGCGAAGGCAGCGCTTGGCCTGAAATCTGTCCAAAACCCAGATTCCATGTGATTACCATCTCATGGAGGGTGTCAGTTTTAATCTCGTCTAAAAGTGCACCAATCACAAGGACAAGAAAACTCTGAAGGCTCTGACTGTGCATTTAACGGGAAACAAAAAGCCCTTTGGACTGGCTGAGATTATCTTCTTTGACTAGGCCAGGGAAGAATATATCAGCAAGGATTTGTCAACAGACAGCAGAATGACATGTCAACTACTCTGTGTTTCATCCGATCTCAAGGGAAAGTCTCTTTTTTTACTGCCAGGCAGCTGTGGAACCCTGGAATAGGAGACCTGGATTCTTCAGCTTGGTGACCTTTACAACTGTCATTCATTTGGCAAGTGTTTCTTTTAGTGTCCACTCTGTCCTAGCATTGTGGTAGGTCATGCCCAGCGGATATGATGGTAAAGACACACCATCATCATCCTTAGTCTTATGGAGTTTACTGTCTAGTCATTTAATCTCTCCCAGTTTCTTTATTTCTAAAATGGCAATAAAAAAAACTACCTACTTCACAGGATTATTATGAGAATTAGGTGAGATAAATACGTAAAAATCCGTGCCCCAAATAAGGCATTATTATTATTATAAGATAGTTTTCTTCTTTGAAATCCCAGTCTGCTAGTGAAGTTTGAAGTTGACATCTGGGGTTGGCAAACTTCTGAAAAGGGCCAGTGTAGTAAATGTTTAGGGTCTGTGGATTTCATGGTCTCCTCTGTAACACTCAGGTTTATGGTGGTAGTGCAAAAGCAGCCTTGGACAATATGTAAATGATGTGTATAGGTGTGTTCTAATAAATCTTTATTTACAAAAACAGGTAGAGGGCCAGGTGTTTGGGCCATAGTTTGCCAACTTCTGATTTATAGCCTAGAGTTTAAGAGTGGAAGTTCCAGAGTCCAACTGCTTGCCTCAGTTTTCCCATCTATAAAATATGCATAATAGTAGCATCCATTTCAAGTTACTGTGAAGATTAAACAAATTCATATAGCACTTACAACTATGCTTGGTATACCAAATACATTATTATCATTGGCTTTTATCATAATACAGAGAATATTGCTAGATAAAATTATTGCCATTGCAGAAAATAGTGAATTAATAGGACAAAGTATAGCCCATTTAAAGACTCTATATTCTAGTTGTGTTGTCAATTAAATGCTTTCAAATTTAAATGTTTCTTTCTGTCATTTTTATTATGTTTATGATGCCTTTAATAACTCCCTGTCTGTTGGTAAAAGCTAATGTTGACACATCTTTTAGACTTGCATAGATACATGTACCATGAAATCTTATTTTGCTAACAATAATGAGTGTTTACCATGTGACAGAGAATGTGCCAAGGGCTTTGCATGCATGATCTTGTTTAATCTTCAACAACAACCCAATGAGGTAGTTTGCTAAAATGAAGACACTGAGGCTCGGAGAAGTTAGATAACTCACCTAAAGACGTACCAGCAAAAGCAAATGTGGGGCCAAATTTTACTCTTAATAGTAGCAGTACTATGTATTGTTATGTTCTGGAGACACAGAGCTTGGAAATTCACGTCAGTATTATTCTATGACTGGTGATCAGCTTTTCATGTTAAGGGAGAAACAATATGCAGCATGTTTGTAATAGCACATTTAGGAGAAGGCAATTGCTTTTGGTTAAACATTCAGTTTATTTCTACGCAGGTCCAGAAACAGTAGCAGTGTTGTTTGGGACTAGTAGTAAAGAGGACAGAATTTGTTAATTTGACTTCAGTGTTCATGAGTTGTATGCCCCTGGGGCAGTAGGTTTGTATCTAGCAATTTGTTTACCAAAATGACTGAGCCAACTGGATTCTTTGTCTTTAGCCACAAGAGAAAAAAGAGAGCAGAGGAAAATGGCTTGTTTGGAAGTGGTTGTTTGTTTTCTACTGGGCAAATTTAGCCCAGGTGCCAGTAATTTGTGGATGTGTTTGAGAGGCAAGAGGGGGAGGGGGAAAAAGGAGGAGGGCTCTGGGCTCCTCCTGAATTCCACCCTGTCATTGTGGTGTGGCCAATGTGGTGATCAGGCCTGATCTGTAGTGACTGGTTGAGCAGTAATAGGAATGAGGCTGTGCTACTAGAGGAAGGGGTGGTGGTCACCACTTGCCCAAACCACATCCTGCTCTTCAGCTTTAGCTCTTGCTAGTTTGGAGATGATGAGTTGGAGAAAAATCTAGTTGCAGGCAATGCGGAAGAGCAAATCTCAGAATGCACATCAACCACAACTGAAGTGACATTTGGAAGACACACAGGCAGGAGAGAGTTCCCTCCTACATTACTCACATAAAAGCAAGCTCCTTCTCTTCCCTCAGTGCATCCTAACATTGCACTCTTATTTGTAAAAATACATCAGTGCATATCACTTCCATGCTTAAAATCCTCAAATGGGGCTGGGGTTGTAGCTCAGTGGTAGAGCTCTTGTCTAGCACATGTGAGGCACTAAGTTTGATCTTTAGCACCACATAAAATAAATAAATAAAATAAAGGTATTGTGTCCATCTACAACTTACAAAAAAAAGTAACAAAAATAGCAGCTTCCCTTGCCTGTTAGTTTAGAAGGTCAAAACCACATGGAGGTTAACCATGAGGCTGTTGCCCAAGCATACTCTATCTCATGGGAGATTGTTAAGAACAGAAGTTATGCTCCAACTGTTCCATCTCCCATGACAGCAGAGCTCTGAAGCTTGACTGGAAAGTCTGCCACTGTTATCAAAGGCAGGAAAGAGCACCAGCCTCAAGAAGCCCCAGCCATGTCTCACGTTCAGTACTCAAGTTGGGTGCCCACCAGAAGGTGATGTCTTTTGCAATAAACTCTTGGTTATATTAGGCAGGGCCTCTGCCTGCACTCAGTGCCGTGCACTTCCAAGACCCTTATTT